AAGGCCGGCGGGACCCCAAAGCCCCCCGGGCCTGGCGGTCCCAGCGCGTCCCCCCCTCCCCTGCTCCGCGGGCAGAGATTTCCAGATTGACCGCGCTTGATGGCAAAGCCGGGGGTCACCCACGTCCCGCCGCCCTGCGGAGCGGGATGCAGCGGGATGGAGCAGGATGCAGCGAGATGGAGCGGGATGCAGCTGGATGGAGCGGGATGCAGCGGGCTCTGCCGCATCCTCATCCCCTCCCCTTCCCCGGCCACTTTTTTGCGCTTAAATCACCGTTTGCTCGTAACCGAAGCCTGCCGGCGCCTACCTGCCACCCAAGGGCTCAGAAGAGGCCGCAGTCCTTGAGGTTCTCTTTGATGATGACATCCGTGACGGCGTCAAAGACGAATTTGACGTTCTGCGTGTCTGTGGCACAGGTCATGTGGCTGTAGATCTCCTTCACGTCCTTTCGCATGTTGAGATCAAGGAATTGGGTCTTGATGTAATTTCCTGCGTCTTCAAACGTGTTGGGACCTGCGGAGGGACGGAAACGCTGCTGCTGAGCTGCTCCCACGGGAGATGGCCATCGGAGCTGGGCGAGGACCAGGGGATGCTTAAGGCTTGTTTTGAAGAGCGAGATCTGAAATCTGCCTCCAGAGGAGGAGGAGGAGGAGGAGGGCTGGGTGGCAACTGCACCTAGCAAAGCAATCTTAAAAAAAGCCATTTTATCCCATTCCCATCCTTCCAAACGCCTTCCCCAGGCCACAGCTGTCCTCTCCTCTGCTCCTACCTCCAGGGACTTGATCCCAGCGCAACTCAAACCCGAGGCGCTGCGTCTGCGCTGGGACCACGCGACTCCCCACCGGAGACCGTGGGTTGGGGGGGGGGGGGTCTCGAGGCGGGGGATCGAACCGACTCACCGTCGTAATCTGGGAAGCAAATGCTGAGATGGACTTTCTTGATCTTTTCCTCGAAAAGGTCCTTCTTGTTGAGGAAGAGGATGATGGACGTGGCGGCAAAGAACTTGTGGTTGCATATACTGTTGAATAGGTGCAGGGATTCGTGCATGCGGTTCTGCAAGCAAACAAGGCTCGTTGGCACCAAGCGCCAGCGCTTATTTAGAAAGCCCTTTTGGCCATTGCAGCTCCCCAAACCCCCCATTCCCGAGATGAGAGCTTTTCCCTGGGCTGCCGGGGATGCTCCCGTCCTCCGGAGCAGCAAATGGCTCTGCTGCCTGTCCCCTGCCTGCACCCAGAGTCCCTCTTGCCCCTCTGAAAAGCCCCCGTGCCACGGTGCGAGCAACCCGGCTAAATCCAGCTGCTGCTCAGGGTGGTGTTAAGCAGCTCCGGGCAGCGCAATGCTCTGTTCCCTCCTGGCAGCTTCTGGGATGTTCAGAAATGAGGGCTTACGGTGGGAAATTATCCGGGGAAACCTCGCAGCCCTGCGGCACAGCTGCTGGAAGGCGCTCGGTGAGGGCATGGAGCTGCCGTCCCCCTCACCCCGGCCGTGCTGCGGGATGCTCTTGCTGGACCGCAGCCCCTGGCTGCAGCTTCGGAAAGGAGCGGGGAAAAGGAAAAGCTCTGGTTTTAGAGCAGACGTGCCATTTCTAGTTTGCTGCAGGGGCATCCTCGGGAGGACAAGGCTCCATCCAGCTGGAGCTAAGTCCGACCCAGGGTTTTTGCTGCCCTGCTGAGGGAAAGCGGATCTCCTTCGCCTTTGCGTGGCAGCGGGCAGGTTCTTTGGGGATGATGGGAATGTCCTGTCCAGATCCCCGTTGCAGCAGCTTTTCGGTAAGGCCTCGGCGAGCAGGGCACCTGCAGGGCCAGCTTTGGCCAAATCCTGCCCCGTCCTGCGTAGGGGAAGCGTTACAGCCTCTCTGGAGGGCTTTGATGGGAAGGATGCTCTCTCCTTGCCCCGCGTGCCTCACGCGCTGCTGCTTCCCGGCGGAGGAAGGGCTGCGTGCTCCCGCCCGGCCTTGGCGAGCCCCGCG